GTTCACCCCAGACTGGTTGCCATAACAGGGTCTACAGAAAGGATATAAGAAAGACAACAATGTAGAATCTCCAAATAAGTTAACATAAAGGATTTTGTACAGTACGAGTTAGGTCCAAAACCCTGATATCCGACAAACTCCATATGGGCATGCATCACATTTGCACCCAGTGCAGACAAAAGAACTATGAGCCTATAGTCCTATTTAAAATAAAATAAAAATAAGTAAATAGATTGAGATTCAATATTTTATTTTCATACACACTTCAGTGCACGCAACCAGGATCCGTAACACAAAGACATCATCGGTTCTCAGGTGAATAGATGCCTTATTATTTAATCTTCACAATAACACTATAACAAGGTAGATTTGGTCAGCTGGCAAGAACCTGAGTCCCTGTCTTTAGGTCACACATGACTCTATTAGCTCCAAAATCATTTTATGCAAACCACAAGGAAATAATTATATTATTATACCATTTAAATATTATTGAACATTTCTCCACATCCATTACAAAAAGAAACCAAGATCAAAATAACACTCTAAAATACTATGGTTACGGTAAACTGCACAGATTGATATGCTCTTACTTTGAGCTACAGGCAGGGAACCCTGCCTGGTTACAGGTGTCCAAATGTTGGGGTGCGCTCTGGGGTCTTGGAGATATAGGCCATTTCTCAATTCACAAGAACGCGAGTATGGACTTGTGTCCTCACTAAGGATGTTCTTGAGAAGAACAAAGTAAAGTATGGACTTTGGGAGATGGAAGCACAGAGCCTAAACATTGGTCAATTGGAACAGAAGCGTACTCGTGACATCAACACATGCTCCGCTAGTCTGGAGCTGCATTTCATTAACACCCTCAGTATGATCAATGAGTCACTACCTAGAAAACTGCAAGAAAGCATGAAGAAAGTGGCAAACATGCACAGAAAAACTGAAGAAACTTGCTACGTGCTAATCAAGATAGGTTGGTGAAGCAATATCTGTTAAAAAATAAAAATTAAAGATGAAACGCTTATGGAGTTAAGATGGAAAGTTGAAAGTCTAACAGAACGTGAAAGTGCAATGACTGAAAACATGAGAGTAAAGGAGTTACAGATACAAAAACTAAATGAGGAGCTTGGAAAAGCTAAAACAAAGAATAAAAATGTGGCAAATGAAAGTACAACGCTGAGTAAGAACTTGTTAAATAGCGAAAAATACGATAATGACTTTAAAATTCATCTTTTGGAAAAGGAGCTAATTATTAGTCTAAAAAAAAAAAATCAGGTAGAGGGTGCCAAAACAAAGTCAAATACAATAATGATTACTTGGAAAAACTGTCAGCTGCTAATAAAGAGCCTAGAAAATCTTCATGCAGCAGGAGCAAATAAATATGTGAGCCAAGATAAAGAAATTAGAAGTAGCAAAGCAGCATGTCGTAAGTATGGGAAAATAATCTTGGCACAGAAACGTGAGCTATACAACCTGAGCCTTAATTTAAAAAAAAAAACTTGAACAGAAAATATCTGATTTGACTGAAGAATTAAGAGGGGAAAAAGCTAAATATGAGAATGTAGAAGGAATTTTTATTGAAAACAATGAAAATATAAAGGGAAAAAAAACTGTAAAATCTCGTTCTGAAAAGATTTGCACTCTCAACAACCAGATAGATCATAAAAAAAGCAACTAAAGGAACTTCAGGGAAAACTGATCCATCAGGATAAAGAGGAAGCCATAAAGGGCTAATTATTCAGTAAAAATAACCCCCTCTTCCTATGACCCAGTGTATTCTTGTGAAGCAGCAACATTAATGTTTTGCCATCTCTTACAAAATATTTTGCTTTTGAAACATTTTCTTGTATGTGTTTTGACAGGCATTACCACAGCATGGATGAGTTCAGCCATTATGATTTGCTGGAGGTGAGCACTGGCCGTAAAGTGGCTGAGGGACACAAGGCCAGCTTTTGCCTGGAGGACACAACCTGTGACTTTGGTCACCTGAAGCGCTATGCCTGCACTTCTCACACTCAGGTAATGTATATCACATCACTACAATAATCAACTGAAAATAGCTTTACATAAATAAATAAAGGTCTAAAAGATGTTTAAATATATTCTTATGATTGCTTATAGTTTGATTTAACAGTATCCATCGCCTTTTTAACTCTTGGTTATTTTGTTTTGTCATTGGCTGAGAGGCAGTGTACACCCTGTAGAGGTCCCCCATTCATTGCAGGGCAATACAAGCACACACTCAAACAGTTATGTTTAAAGGCAATTTCTAAAGACCACGTAACAAAACAATCATGCTGTAGGACTGTGATAGAAAGCTTAAGTACGCAGGGCGGCATTTACATGAATTTGTAAGTAGGCTTATGCGTTTGAATGTTAAATGATCAAGACATTTCTTATTTTTCTTGCCAGCTGTCTAAATAGAATGGTATGCCCGGTCACAATTTGTTCTATTAAGGATTCTTCAAACCTAGATTTGGATCTCTGTAGCACCAATCATGTACCACAGTATGCACTTGAAGTTTGTCGTACCCACTAGGCAATTCCCTGGCAATAGAGAAGCTTGGTGGAATGTGCAAAGATAGGACCCCACTAATTCCTCCCTGGCAGTTCATCATCTCACCTCCCATATTATGCTAAATACCAGATCCATGTCCCTGGACCTGCATATCAGTCTTGGCATATCTTATTAAACTCATTTATAATAACCCTTTTAAACCTTTTTGTCTCCTGAGTGTCTTCTGCATGTGAGCTAAATCAGTGGCCAAAACAGTGACAGAACACATGCCATTCTGACCCAGGAGACACACTTCAGAGAGCCTTTTAAGGTCAACAACATCAAATCCATCCCTTTGCAAGTTGTTAAGATGTGGAGAGGCCCATTTCACCAAGTATAATCAATTTGGATGCATATTTGAAGAATTTGCAAAGGCATTAAAGCAGACCTTATAGGGGGAGCACCTTTTTTTTTACATTGGGCCCTTGATTTTACATTATTACATCATGTTCTACTCACCCATATGAGTTTTTTGTCATTTGGAGCTGTTCTGAAGATATTCTCTTAGGTTATATCCAAGTAACGTCTTCCTATGGGCAACAACTTGAAGGCACAAACTAAACTGTTAATAATTTATCATTTATGGTACGCCAGCATTCATAACATCTAGGCGAATCACTGTCCCCCAGACATCCGCAGTTATATATTTAATATTTATATATTTTTAAAACAAAGCGGAGTGTGTATGATGTTATCCTTTAATGACAGAAATCGACCAGAGAGTTCTCTAGTTATGATATATACCATCAAATCAACTGAAAGTTCCTTCATTTCACTCTACTTGCAATATTATTATTTAACAAAAGTCTCATTATTTCCAGTATTTACCTTAAATGAGTCTGGAAGTGCATAGAACACGATAGACCAAAATTTTCCTAAGCCAACATTTCAACCGTGTCTCTTTCAGTCTCAATCATATTGCTGTTACTGTAAAAGTAACCATCCACTTCCCTTCATCTCGTCAGCTTTCAAAAAAGTTCAAGATGCAACCATTTTCACTGAACTGGATCTCAGAAATCCATCTGGTCAGTATTTGCCAGGGAGAAAAAAATTGTAAGACTGCCTTTCAGACACCATTAGTTTGTTTATTACTTGGGCCAAATATTTACTGCTGTCTTTTGGTCTTAGTAATGCTCTTGCACGCAATTCCTTAGCATTGTTATGCAGATGACTTTCTAAAGTTGTGATGGTGACTGAGGACAAGACTGTGGTCCTTATCTTTAATCATCCATCACATCAAAATAGTGTTGCCTTCTTACTGAGCTTTTTATCTCCACATTTTGATTTGTTTGTTTAAAGTCTTGGAATTACCCTTAAAGGTTTTTCAAAACGGGAAAAGCAGGTTTACTTTGTAGGTAGAAGTGTATTTTGGAACTCTAAGACAACTAACAAGGCTAAAACCATATTTGCCCAGGTCTGCACGGAGAGGGCGGTCCATCTTCTCATCATGTCATGCCTGGATTATAATGATTCTCTTTACCAAGGCCTGTTGAAGCACTCCCTACTTTGGCTTCAAATAGCTGGAAATGGTGCTGCCCATATGCCAACTGGCAGAGACAAGCATAAGCAGATAACCCTGATGTTAGCTGAGCTTCTCTGGCTCTGGGGGGTTTTAGGATTCTGTTTAAGATTCAGCAGCTGGTATATAAGGCACTTAATAGTCTTTCTCTCCTGTGCATTTCAGAGCTTCTAGTTTGTTACAACCCATCAAGGGCTTGAATGCACTTAAATAAAAGGGATGGTAGAGCTTTTTCCATTGTGTCTCCTTGCCTACGGGATTAACTCCACCGGAAAATTAGATACAATGTCTGTTGCAATCTCCAAATCGATACTGAAGATTGTTTTGTTTATTCAGAGTTTCAGAGGTTCGTCTCCTCCTGCTGTGTTGCATTTGTTGGCTATTTATTCTAGATTTTTATGTTAATTTTAACTATTAATATCTGTCACATTTTCAACACCTTGGGCATTTCTGTTTATCCTTGTTAAGTATGCTTTATAAATAAATTATAACTTGCAATATCATTACATTTTGGTTACTTAATATAACAAAATTTCTATCAAATAAAATACTGTTATTATATGAAATGTGATATAGTTTAGTAAAAGTTTTTTTTTGTAAGGCACTGTGTTTGCCCTCTACAGCTTGCTCCAATTAGTATTCCTTACTAGCTTTTCTCCTCTTCCTCATTGCTTCTTTAGGGTCTGAGCCCAGGCTGCTACGATACATACAATGCTGATATTGACTGCCAGTGGATCGATATCACTGACATCAAACCTGGAAACTACATACTAAAGGTGAGAATCTTGTGGGTTTGCACAAACATTTGAAGTTTGTAGACCTCTCCCAATCCTATTATCAATTTATAGTAGTGGAAGTAGTCAAGACGAACAAAACAAATCAATTTATTTCATAAAGTTTTCAACTTCTAGGTCACAGACAGTGTTGAGGATGCACTTTTGAGTATTGCCCATTGATATTTCATGTATTTCACAATCAATGGTATTCAATGTAGCTTCAAAGCAGTACCAGGTCATGGTAGAAAATTTGGTCGGTTGTTTGAAGACCTTATTCTGAACTGCTTCCAATTCATATTTTCTTTTATTTCCAGCTCGTGGTGAATCCAAAATTCTTGGTGCTTGAGTCAGATTTCACCAACAACGTTGTGAGGTGCAATGTTCACTACACTGGGCGATTTGTCACAACAAACAACTGCAAGTTAGCACAGTAAGTAATGCACTACAGAGTTCCTTTAGAAAAACAATAGATTTTGATCAACTTTAATTGTGAAACATTGGAACACAACTATCATAATAGGGAAAAAAAATCTGCCTTACTTTGTAAATAAAATTTCTATTTTTCCAATGAGATGACACTCATCTCTCAGAGCATTGACTATCATTATACAAGAAACTTTCAAGGGACACTGATAAAAACCTAATTTCAAGGGACACTGATAAAACCTTGTTTATAAATTAAAAAATATATATATATATATTATTTATAGCAAACCTTCCTTGTTTTGCTTGCTTTCCTTTGCAGGTCTTGATCCAGCAAATGAAGACTAGGACATTGGAGTGACCTTGATTGCAATTCTGTTGAAATGTGATTATAATTTAAATTCCATTCACAGTTCTGGTTTAAATCTTAAGTTTTGCTGCATTTTATTTTTCATTATTTCTCTATGTTTTGTTTGCTGTTTGATACTGGGCAAACAAAAAACCAGTTTCCCTTCCTCTATATGGAGATTTAAATATTGCAGCTTTAACCCATAATACATTTCACTCATTGGTATCCCAATAATGCACCAACAGTTTACACAGCCCTGCATTTTACGGTAAGAGCACTCTGCTTTTGTCATTTAAATAACAGTTTGACCAGCCTGCTTTGGATCCATAATAGTTCACATCGCTGTCTTTTAAAATATATGGTTACTGTATTTCAACATAGTTGAGTCTCATTTAAGCTACAATCTAACAAATAAAATTAGGGAGGTAGAGAGTTCTGAATTCATCCGTGCAGAATGGCAACACAAAATGCCTAGTGATTCAGAAAAGCTATAATTAGACAGTTTTTGCTCTATTTTCTCTCTTAGGCACCTTTGCAGACCAGGATGGGATCCTGTAATTTCCAGGGCCATGTCCCAGTAAATGTTTTATCAATGTTAAAAGAAGGCTGCAGGTCTTATTTGCATGTGTTTTTCTCCAATTATATGCCCTTGGAAAAGACAAGACCATTTGTAACAGGTCATATAAAGCACAGCTCCCTTCAAAAAGAATGAATTTCTTGGGAGAAAATTGTGCTTTCAGGTAAACAGGATTTGCAGTATTTCTGCTGAATTATTACACCTTTGAATGTGCCCGATACTCAAACCTTTGTCAGATGGTACATAGGTAATCTATGCCTTTTAGAGAATATTTATGCAGATATTCAACCAATGCATTATTTTAATGATGGAGATCATTGTATATAACTGATTCCATTTGCATATTCACATTCATGTGTAACTGTTATCGTCAATTTTAGTATAGATATTGTTTGTTTAAAAAAATCACTGCAGATATATATACTGTAATGCAGAGTTGCTGAAAGTAATATTCTCCTACCTCTTCTATTGACCTATTCATCTGTAGACATCTGTGTCTATTTCACCTGCCCTGTCCTAATATATCAATAATTGATTACCAACAACGAGTTCTACTTCAATTGTGTTAATTTTAACAAAAAAGAAAAATATTTAGATTTTGAAGCACTAATGGCACAGCAATCCAAATATGTTAGCGGAGTGATTACCTCTGTGATCAGATGTGGAATTAAATTTTCTGCATAGATCAACTTTTCTTTTTTTTTTTTTTAGAAGATTTTCAGCATCTTCAGGATCTGAATATTAAAATGCCATTCCTTGTGTTTTGTAAAGAAAGCATTCCCCAGTACCAACATAATCTCTATATATCCATGTACTGATCAAATAATAGCACACAGTTATATTGTTCATTTCTGTAAACATTTTTATGATATTCAATTCTGGGCAGGTATACCTTTTGTTACTGCTGGTCTTTCATTTAGTACTGTAAATGCTCAGATCTTTCGATTTGATATTTGGTAGCTTGTAAACTTTCTTTGTGCTTTAGATTTACATGTTTTAGCACAGATAATGGCTGGTAAGGAGCCTGTGTTAACAGTCCAGGTACCATTTTAAAGCATTACGCTGGATCTACTTGTTAGCATTGTTGCAACACAACTAGAAGCTCATAATTTAATATTTTTGTGTTTTATTGTCAGTTTACCAATACTCCTTCTTACCTGTGTGGTAATTTAGATTACTCTTCATAAAAGCCCATACAGGGACAAGTGCTGCAAATAAGCTCATGCTTTAAGCACACTGATGGACACATAGGACTACTGCTTTTTCAGTTTTTCTGTTACCATCCATCTGTTCCTTAATAAACTCAATTAATAATTAAATACATAAATACATTTCAAATCATGGCTTAGACCCCAATTTTACATGCAATTGTCTATCTGCTAGGCCATTTCAATTAAATTCTGTTTATTTATATAGGGCCAATTCACAAAACGTCATCTCAAGGCACTTTGCAGATACAATTCAACCAGATCATCCAGTCAAATTGATACAAAGTTTTCCATCTAAGGAAAACCAGTTGAATGCATCGACTCCTTGACTCAGATGCAATCCCTCACACCAAGCATGCTTATAGCGACAGTGAAGAGGAAAAAAAACCCTTTTAACAGGAAGAAACCTTTTAGCCTTCCTGAATGGGGTTAACCAGGTGCAAAAAGGAAGTTAGGAACAGAGGTTAGTTGAAGTGAATTTATAGGAACAGCTTACCGTAACTTAAATGTTCTGTGGTAGTGCAGAAAAAGAGAAGACATAACATAACTAAAAGAACAGAATGAAAATGACTGGAAATGTAATTCTATTTTGACAAAAGTAAAACCTAATTTGTTTTATTGTTTTACCAAATTGTATAATTATAAAACTTTAGGGAAACTTACCAACCATCAGATATTTGATTACAACATAGGATTACAAAAGGCAACGTGAAAACCTTTCATTCTAATGGTGGAACATTAACTCTGGGTAATTCCACGTCTGCAACCTTTCTGACATCTTTTGATCCAAAGTTTTGTGTTTTTACAGTGAACTGTTACCAAAATGAAATTCAATAAATATATTAATGTCACCCTTGTGTGTAGACAGTCTGAATATGTTTTATGGTGCCGTTTTACCATCCTTTAACCAGGTTTGAAAACATAAGCAAGCTGTGAAACGAAGGCTTCAAGTATGATGGTATGAATGGAAAATTCTTAAGATATGAGACAAATTTATCATCATGAAAAATATTTGCTGTGCTATCATAAAATTAGCTGACCTAATATCAGCGGCAGATACTGTTTTTTTTTTATGCTCTATATCAGCATAGTTGATTGGACCTAGATCCTTACACCTGCTATTTTCTTCCATTGAAGGATTGATACAGATTTCTTACTTAATGTTGTAGAAAATAAAGCAAGTTATCAATTTTTTTTAGGTAATGCTTGAGTAAAATATTCCACTTGCTCCACATCTAATCCAGTATTCAGAGTAAAGAATACTGGATTAGATGTCAATATTTACATCTTAGCATTGCACCACAGTTGTTATTGAATAAAAAAATACATATATAAAAATAAACTGTAGGCTGATGCCTGTGTAAATTTTCAGTTATCAGGGTCATGCCAACCACAGGCTTTAATTGGAAGACAACCAATTTTTCGCTCAGTGGAAAGTCAGATGAAAATCCACTTGCCTTCCCATTTAAGTCTGTTTTGTGATTATAGGCTTGTGTAGACATTTACACCAAATGCTCTTCAGGAATATTAATTAATAAAACTTGTAGTGAAAAGGATTAGAGGAGGAGGTGCACATAATGATCTACATCAAGGTACTTTGCTTATCGAAGTTGTATTTATGTACATCTAACTAAGCAGATATTCTTTAAAAAATCAATGAAGTTTCACATGTGAAATATGGCATTTGTAGAGCACAGACAATCTTTGCACAGGAATTTCCTTCCTCCCAGGGGAATTTGAACACTTGATCAGATTGTTTGGCTTCCCAGTTCTTTTCTTTTCAATATCTGTCTTAGCAACTGACCCTCTCACAACAACCTACTCCCTCTGTTTCAGACCTCTTCTTAGTCTGGACTGTTTGTTCTGGCTGTTCACTCTAAATCAACTGTATCTGCTCTGTCAACAATGCCCTACAGTTTGCAGGGTGTGGTACTCTTGCCTTTTCTCTCATATTTCCACTGTAACTGGAAAAGAGACTGTTGGTTGGAATAACAGACTGCAGAATGAGAAGACATATGCTAGATACAGAATAAAAACTGATTAATGTGATTCATTGTCACATGTTTTGGACAAATAGTAATAAATAGATGGGTTATCACAGTTTTTGTTTTATCCAGAGGGTTGGTTCTTTATTGGTTTCAACATATATTCCCATAGCTGTTTTCCCTCTGAAATTGGACTATAGAAAGCAACACTCACTGTGCAAAAAGTGTCTCTCTATAAGCTTAAACTTTTTGTTCTTACTACTAGAAATCATGCTACTGCACTCTCGCTACAGGTGTTTCTAAAATGTTTCTCAAAGCCGTTGAGTTGCACACTTTTTGTGTGCAACTCAAAGGCGAATATGCAATTGGAAATTTTTTAAAACATGCCAGAGGATGTTTCCCAAGTGAATCTAACCAGTGTGAGATTCTAATTGCAGCATACTGAAATACCCGGAGGAGTGTAGAGAGCAGAAACCAAAAGGCACATACTAAATCGCTGACATAGAATTTGGAGTGTTCACTTGATGCCAACATAGGCATGGCTGGAGGAAACTGGTGAAAGTGGAGAGTTAAGCGTCAACAGCAGTCACAGTACATAGGCTCAGAGGAAACACATGTTGTTTTCCATTCTAATTGCAAGAATCAGGGTGATTTAATCATCTGTAACTGTGTGTAGTGTCAGTGCTCCTCTAATTCAAGATACTGGTAAGAGAATGTTAAAGTACCATTTCTGAATTTCTGATTCATTATGCTGTTTGTCAGGGACAAAGCAGTAAGGCGAAAGGGACACTTGTGTGTTTTGTGTGTATCCTGTGATCTAAACAGACAGAAAAGAAAACATTGACTGTCTAAAAGCTGTTTTTTGGTAGCACAATTAAATAGCTATTGAATTAGGAACTAAACCCCTGATCAATTGACCTCTGCTAAACTTGACCTCTTTAAGCCTCTAGGGGCCACTGATGGGCAAAGGATGGTCAATGGGCTCTGTGATTGATTGATTGATTGATTTATTGAAATTTGTTGACTTTATTGATCTCACAGTGGAGACAATTTACTCATTACATCAGCTCAAATAGTAAAAGAAGAAGAATGTGCCAAAGGAATCAGACAGATCTTTGTTTTGACTCTTGAAGGAGGCGTCCGCCTTTTCCTGTCCCGGCTTTGGTGTATGCTCTTCATATCACCTGAACTGCAAACAATGGATCTGGTCAGCTGGTCACTCAAAGCAATTGATCAAATTTTCTCAACTGGAAGACAGGGGAAAGAGGAACCCATCCCTGCCAGGACATACTTTGTCAAAGTCTTTCACTAAAGGAGCTGCTAAGCTTCTCCATGCTCCGGTGCAGGGGGTAAAAGCTGTGTTCATGGTTATCATCAAGAATAATGGAAATTTAATTAAAATATTATGAATTATTTCTGTTGTAAACATTACTTTTGTCCACCAATTTTACCTTTAGTTGCAGTGAACATTAAAATGAAAAATTAACAAGAGCAAAAAAGGGTGATCTGTTTCTTTCTGTTTATAGTCAGCTCCAGGCAACATGGTGATTTATGCCCAGTTTTCAATAAGCAGAGGATCCGAAAGAAAAGCTGTAAACACATTTTCAAGACAAACATTTCCCCTAACAACAAGCCACATTGAGTTTATCAGAAAACCAAGGTAAAAGCAACCAGTGTTCTGCAGTTGCAAGCTTGCAACCTCCTTGAGGGAACCGATCAGGTGAAGTCAAGCAAGACTGATTACATCTTTCAGCATTCACAGGCACACAAATAAACAAAAGAATCACAGAACTGGAAGACAGTGGTGTGACACTGTCAATGCCGAAAATTGAAAAAAAGAAGATACCTACCTCTTGAGAGGCTGCTTTTCCCAAATTAGGATTTTTCATTGAGAACACCTTTCAACTCAATTAAGACACCAGAAGGAATACTGGTCACCTTTCAAAAAGATTGTTTAGACTTTTTTTTAACTGTTGTTCTGTGAAATTATCACCAGTAATAGTGCCCTTATCTGTAGTAGATATACCAATGAGCTTGTAGGAAGGTCACAAAACTTTTAGAGCAATGGAAGGCTAATAACAAGCCATACTGTGAATAGTCTTGCTTGTAGAACATAGTTATACTTGTGGATTTTAAACATTTACACTTTTTTTAAAGTGATTATAAAGTTTGTTGCTGTCTTCTCTGCTTGACCAGGTCTGTGTTACTATATGAAGTTACACTGGTTGAGGGATTGGACAGATTGGCTGTTTGATTATCATCAATGCTTATGTTTTCTGTCTAACAGCTTTATGTTTTATTCATTTGATGTGCCTAAATGTTTGTCTTCATTCAATTCAGCATTGACACTCACACGTTATATATAATGCATTTACTTTCAACCTAAAGTGAAGTGATACTATTCCCATTTGAGGTGGGTCATTAGATTTCAGTGCTGCATTTGATACAGTTAATCATAATAGTCTTTAAGAAAGACTTTAATATTTTTTAGGAATTAAAGGAACAGCACTAGACTGGTCTAAATCTTATCTATCTGATCGTTTTCAGTTTGTTCACATTAATGACAAATCTTCCTCATGCTCAAGGGTTACCTGTGGAATACCACAGGGATTAGTGCTAGGACCAATTCTCTGGGATTAATGGGATCAATTATGGGATTAATTTCCACTGTTATGCTGATAATACTCAGCTATATCTGTCTATAAATCCAGATGAAGCTAACCCATTACGTAGATTACAGGCATGTCTTGAAGACATGAAAACCTGGATGACTCTTAACTTTCAGTTCCTGAATGCAGACAAAACAGAAGTTGTAGTCTTTGAAAAATAAGCTGATTAGCCAGTCACTTTATACGGATGGGATTAAACTGATTTTAGATAATAAAGTAAAAAATCTTGGTGTTGTTTTTGATCAGGACCTGTCATGTAAAACCCATATCAAAGAGGTTTCCAGAATTTCCTTCTTTCATCTGCGCAATATTACAAAAAATAGAAATATCCTGTCCAGGGGTGATGCTGAGAAACTAGTCCATGCATTTGTTACTTCAAGGAGGGACTATTGTAATTCTTTACTATGAGGAAGTCCACAAACTGAAGTTAAAAGCCTTCTGCTGATCCAAAATGCTGCAGCCAGAGTTCTGATGAAAATTAAAAAGAGAGATCATATCTCTACTATCCTAGCTTCTCTTCAGCGACAGTGGCGACAGTGGTGTTGGATGTTTGCCCTGAAATCGAAGGATTGACAGTCCAAGCCCCGGCTCTGACTTTCAGTGTCGTTGTGTCCTTGGGCAAGACACTTCACCTGCATTGTCTACTGATGGTGGTCAGAGGGCCCGGAGGAGCCAGTGTACGGCAGCCCCGCTTCTGTCAGTGAGCCCCAGGGCAGCTGTGACTACAATGTAGCTTGCCACCATCAGTGTGTGAGTGTGTGTGTGAATGGGTGAATGAATGTAGTGTAAAGCGCTCTGGCCAAGTCTCCTGACTTGAATAAAGGCACTATATAAGTACATGCCATTTACCACTTTTACCATTTACAATCCTAGCTTCTCTTCACAGGCTTCCTGTTAAATCCAGAATAGTGTTGAAAATCCTCCTTCTCACATATAAAGCCTTAAATGGCCAAGCTCCATCTTATATCAGAGATATGATTGTTCCTTATGTTCCTAACAGAGCACTTTGCTCTCAATCTGCAGGTTTACTAGTGGTTCCTAGAATTTCTAAAAGTAGAATGGGAGGCAGATCTTTTAGTTATCAGGCTCCTCTCCTGTGGAACCAACTAGCAGTTTTAGTCCGTGAGGCAGACACCCTGTCTACTTTAAAGGCTAGGCTTAAAACTTTTCTTTTTGATAAAGCTTACAGTTAGAAGG